AAGGAATATCATAAAATTACTTAAAGTTTTTAATTTTTTCTCAGAAAAATGTAGATGATGATTTGAATTTACAAATCTCTCTTGAGATTATAATTTTAGTTTTTATTTAAATAAGAACAATTTCTTTTGCTATTTTAAAACACTTTTCGGTTTCAGAGCTTTTTTGCATCATTTAAGAAAAAAATGGCCTAACCTTTTTTTTGAAAAAAAAAGGCTTTTTATACCTACTGGGGTTTACGCGCTCCTGATTAGTCGGATTTGCAAAAAGATTTAATGGCCGCCAATAGGACACGGACTACCAGTCAATAGAAGGCGTAGTGGATTTCATTTTGTGTTCAATGCCCCGAAAAATTCCAAAACAGAGAGAAGGGGATTGAATTTTGTAGATCCAGAAGAATTATAAACATGGATTTCCAACTCATGTTTAATCAGACAACGCTTTGAAGGGTACCATTGTGAATCGGACATACCTTTTTATATAAAGGGTTACCTGGAATTACGTTTAATTGAGAAGGTTGCACTTTCCAGTCTAATTTTTGCATAATCCGAGCTGGTACAACATGTACTGTATATGTATTCAGTTGTACAATCCGGTCTGGGCTACCCGGTGTAGAGTCCACCCAGCACGTTTTAGACAACAAAAGTAGCCTGGCAAGATCACAGTGTCATATTTTAAATAAATTTAAATTAAGGTTGATCAAAGCTGCGAAGGTGGATGCAATCTAAGCCTGACAATGAGAATACCCAGAATGGTCAGAGAGACAAAAACCCAGTTCATTTATTCATTCTTGGACTTTATCTCGGAGTTTGGAGGTTGGGTTGGAATACTGTTTGGATTCTGTTTGTTGGATCTAGCGGATTTAATGATATCTCTTCTTCAAGTTCAAGTTTAAAATCAGAGATTGTACCCCATCATGTTAAATCTATGCATCCACACTATTACTCTTATTGTATACTGTCAACATTTTTCAGTGTAAACTAGAGTGTCCAATTTTCCGCCAGAATTTATTCCCGCGGAAATTATAATTACTGGAAAACGGAATTCCGGTAATTTTTCCGAATTTCCGGTGGACATTTCAATTTTTTCAATTATTTGTTCATAGTATAAACACACACAAACAATCAAATTGCAGAATTAACCGCCTTACAAGCTAAGGCCATTTTAAGGTTCAGATTTCTACTTTAGAAAGAAATAATACTTTATTATCTGGTTTTTATATCCAAGACCCCCGAAAAAACTTATCATTTATAAACCTTCTCAAAGGGGTTTCTCCGCCGGAATAAAACATAATTTGCGTCGGAAACGGAATTTTCCGGTAGATTCTCCAGTTTAGACCCAGATCCAGTTGGATTTTACACATTTTTGGAAAGATAGCACAATTATTTTGTACTATAACTACACACACCCTTTTTTAAAGTCACAACGTCAAAGTGAATTTACGCAGTTATTTCACCATAACTGGGTTTATAGGATAAGTCCTTAATCCATTATTTAAAGGTATCCCTGCAGGGTATACCAACCAAGGGATATCCTTAATCCATTAATTAAAGGTATCCCTGCAGGGTATACCAACCAAGGGATATCCTTGATCCATTAATTAAAGGTATCCCTGCAGGGTATATCCACCAAAGGATATCATTGATCCATTAATTAAAGGTATCCCTGCAGGGTATATCCACCAAGGGATATCCTTGATCCATTAATTAAAGGTATCCCTGCAGGGTATATCCACCAAGGGATATCCTTGATCCATTAATTAAAGGTAGCCCTGCAGGGAATTCCCGCCAAGGGATATCCTTGATCCATTAATTAAAGGTATCCTTGTCTCTGCAGAGAATTCCCGCCAAGGGATATCGAATAAGAATTAAATTAATCCCTAAGTCACATGAACTGGAGCGATATTCACAAAACAGAAAATCATTTAAAATATTAATATATATTTAAATTAAAATACATAGCATAGCATATAATGATATAATATTAACATTTTTAACTGATTGTCGTCGATTATTGGCGAGTTAAATTCATTAGCATAATCTAAACTGTAAAAAAATACATCATTTAATAATATTATTTGATGGTAAAATATAAAAGATGTCCTGGAAGAAGATATGAAAATAAAGTATTAGTAGGAATAAAAGTAGAAAATAGATTGGAAGATTATTTAACAATTGCATTTCTTAATTATTTACAAAAAAAGTCAATGAGGTTTAAAAAAATGTTAAAAGGGATTTTGTCAGCCAAATCTGATTTTCACTGTTAAAACCAAAACATTCAATTTTTAATATAGAACTACCAAAAGCACTTCTAAGTTATACACATGTGTTCAGAATGCTTCTACAAAAGAGAAGCAGAAAACAGATGTATTATCAACTAAAAATAAGATACAAAAGCCAGAAAAAAATTCACCGCTTTTAAAATTTTTTTTTGTTAAAATTAAAAATCTAGGGAAATTTCACAAACTTCTTTGTGCCTAACAAAATGTAATTTGTTTTAAGCCAACTTTTGGTAACTTTAAACTGCTTTCAGTATGTTTTTTATTAGAAAGTGTTTCTATCAACAATGTACGCCAAGATAAGTACTGCAAAAAATATGAACAAAATCAAATTTTAGTCTCGCGCGGCTAAGGAGAAGGCAGTTTTGCCCTTAAATGTGACTAGATTTATCTGAATTATAATTAAACTTTAAATACAGATAAATATATTTTCGAAAATCCAGTTAAAACCTGGTCAAAATTAAAATTGATTTATTTGTTGAAAAATAACTAGTTTTTGTTTAAAAATGTTTACGTATAGTTTGTGATGTAAATATATGGTTAGAAAACATTGAATTTTACACTGCTGGAAAACCCCTAACAGTTCGTTCGTAATTTCTATTAAAAATTCAGAATAACAACGCTCTTAAAATTTTAAACTAAGTGATTGAAATTTAGAACACTTTGATCGAAATTTAAAACAATTTGTTGCTCAAAATAAGAAAAATTAGCTCGAAAATTAGAACATTTCGCTTAAAATTTAGAACAATTTAATCAGAGCAAATTTTTAGTTCAATTTTGTGAACTTAAAGGTTTTTTTTTGACAACGTAAAAGTAACATTAATTTACATTTTCCTCTTTGTAGTGGAATGCATTGCTATTTAGGACTTATTCAATTTAACTTCGTCATAATTAAGGTTTAAGAAATTTTTAGAGAAGATTCTTATGTTGAATTAATACTTTTAAAGCAGATAGGGGTCTACATAAGATTAGTGACAAAATAACAAGTTGCATCTAATTTGAGCTGAATCAACTAACGTTAATTAGTAAAATCATAGTTATCTTCACTTTTATCGAGGTTGGCAGTAAAACAAATGTTATGGACGGTTTTATCTTAGTAAACTAATTAGTTGTATATGTGATTTAGATAATGAAGGCCATCTTATTGTTCACAACCGATACTTAGAGATATTTTACCCTCTTCCCATTAAATCGAATCAAAAAAGAAAATTCAAATTCCATATTTCAAATTGCTTGAAACCAGTTTACCAAAGATGAAGCTGTGGAAAACTAAATATATTAATGGCACTTGGGAACTGAAGAAGGGAGGATAAATTCACAAATGGTAACGTAACGTAACGTAACGTAACGTAACGTAACGTAACGTAACGTAACGTAACGTAACGTAACGTAACCTTAGTCCGTTGTCTTGCAAAAGGTATTTCAGTCGAAATTGACATTCAGACCATTTTTTTGGATTTGTGAACGTTAGAGCGCTGTAGGGAAATATAAGAAGGGTAAAATATCATTTTAGAAAACAAAAAAAAGTGATAAAAGCAAGAGTTGCTTTCAGAAATAAACAATTTAGAAACATATTAATTACATTTATGTTGTTAGCGTTAATCTGTTGCCGATTTTGTGAGGAAAAAGGGATGCCCCCTTCCCCCACTCCAATCTTTAAAAACAATTTGAAAAATATACAGCCTACAATAAACACCCCTACACTGAGTTAAAAGTTGTAAACGGACATATTTGTAATGGAAGAAGGCACTTGCAGGCAGTTGGGTAGTTCTAGCACTCCTAATATATGAATAATTGTTAATTTATGTTAAACACCTTAACTACTCTAGGATTTTTAAAATTTCCATTTCTAGCTTAGCTGATTCTCGCTATTCATAAGTTCAGACCTAAGGTTCTAATCCTACTTTTGCATGTGGTCACGAGTCATACAATGCTTAGGATCCATTTCCTTTTAATACTGATCCGGAACCTGAATCCGCCCAGAAATAAAATTGATCCAGATCCAAATCCAAATCCGGATCCAGGTCACGAACATTTCTTTAAGATTTACTGATTTTTTTAACAAAAGAAGAATGTTCAAGTATTTTTTCTCGCTTATCTTAATGCTAACAATTATTACCCAATCAGCAATACAGAAATGTTTAATAATTTCTCTTTATCAACAGTTCAGAATTGGGGCTTAAGAGGTTTACAGTTTTTGTCAGATATTTTGTCCCTTGGATCTGGATCCTCAGCACACTGGGACAAATTTATAGAACTGGGAAGATAAAAAATTTTATGACTTAATTTAGACATAATCCTGACCTTGGACTTAATACTGACCTTAGACTTAATTCTGACCTTAAACTTAATCCTGACCTTAAACTTAATCCTGACCTTAAACTTAATCCTGACCTAAAACTTAATCCTGACCTTAAACTTATCCTGACCTTAGACTTAATCCTGACTTTAAACCTAATCCTGACTTTAGACTTAATCCTGACCTTAAACTTTATCCTGACTTAAAACTAAATACTGACCTTAGACTTAATCCTGACCTTAAACTTAATCCTGACTTTAAGCTTAATACTGACCTTAGACCTCATCCGGGTCCAGATCATCCCCATGCCCGTTGTTGTTCAGTAGAATACCCTTAACATAAATTCATTAATTACAAATACTTCAGCTCTTTAAACACTTGAGCTCTATAAACACTTGAGCTCTATAAACACTTGAGCTCTATAAACACTTGAGCTCTATAAAAATGTAAAATTAAGGGACTCTTCGCGTCCTCACATTGGGGAACAAACTAACCAAACAGAAATAGATCTATGGCTTAAAGTGTTGTTGAGCTCTGTAGTTCAGTCTTGCCATAACTGGGTGTTAACACCGATTTTTGAACCAAGTTACAAACTGCAAATTAAAAAAGTAGAATTAAGTAGACTTTGCGGGCCCAACAGATTCCGCACGGTTGGTGAGTGGACTTAAAAATTGGTTCAAATCAAAAGTCGGTGTTAACACCCACTTATGGCACGACTTTTGCACAGTTTAACTCCACCTTTAGACACTATTTAAACACCAATCCTTGATTACAAAAGAACTTTAACTCCACGTTGTCTGTATCGCATCTATATATACTTGGCTTGTCTGTCCGTTTGTTTGTATCCAATAAACATCGAAACGGCTGAACCGATCGGGTCCAAATTATGTGTGAAACCTTGCATGGCCCAATGAAAGCTTTATTGAAACCCAGATTACAAAAAGTTGTATCCAAAAGTGCGATTTTTTAAAAATCCGCGAACTTTTTTTTTGTTATTATTTTATACTGTACACAGAAAAGATGCTCATTGCTCGCAGATAAAGCCACAATTAAAAGTTAAAAAAGAGGATGGCTTGAAGCGCCCTAAAAGCCTAGTAAGATATATTTTACTAGCCTTAGAGGGCGCTTCGCGCCCATCTTCTAAATTAATTGTGAACATGTTCTCTTTGTGTACATCGTAAAAAAAAACAAAAATAATTCGCGATTTTCACAAAAAATTTCGTGGATTTTAAAATTTTCAAAAATTTAATGAAGATCAAATTTTGATGGAGACAAATATTTGAAATTTTGATCATTCATAAACCTTCCTTGGGGTCCCTAGATGTCCCACAGAAAATTTGGGCCCGATCGGTTCAGCCGTTTTGACGTTTATTGGAAACAAACAAACAGACAAACAAACAAACAGACAGACAAGCCAAATTTATATATAGATTTACCTGTGAAACTAACTGCTTCTCTTGTTCCTTGGCTTTGTTCTCCAAGGATCGTATCCTTGTCTCGTGTTTCACTGGAAATAAATATTTATTTAGAAATCAAATAGCAGATATATTTTCTAGTGACCCTCCATTTAAAAAGATGGCAATGTCCGATTCACAACGGTTCAATTCAACATTTATCTGATCCAAACCAGATTTTGCCGTTTTTCAAGCCTAGTGTTTTTTTCTCACAGAATCCTCTCAACTTGAGTTGCAAGAAAGTCACTTTATGCGAGAAACCTCAATTTTTAAAAAATATTTTGTTTCAGAGAAATCATAGATTTCTCATTCTTTCATAAGTTTCTTAAGTAACGTCAAAAATTTCTTAAGTAACGTGTAAAGTTTCTTAAGTAACGTCTAAAGTTTCTTGAGTAACGTGTATAGTTTCTTAAGTAACGTCTAAAGTTTCTTAAGTAACGTCTAAAATTTCTTAAGTAACGTGTAAAGTTTCTTAAGTAACGTCTAAAGTTTCTCCAGTAATGTCTAAAGTTTCTTAAGTAACGTCTAAAGTTTCTTAATTAACGTGTAAAGTTTCTTAAGTAACGTCTAAAGTTTCTTTTAAGTAACGTGTATAGTTTCTTAAGTAACGTCTAAAGTTTCTTGAGTAAAGTCTAAAGTTTCTTAAGTAACGTCTAAAGTTTCTTAAGTAACGTCTAAAGTTTCTAAAGTAACGTCCATTCTGGAAATTGTACATATTAGCATAAATAATTTTTTTCTTAACTTATCGTCGTGCACTTTTTACTTACCAATCATAGCCTTTAGTTTTCTTATTTCAGAGTTCAGTTCATCAATCTAAATAAAGTCAAATCTAATTTCAAGAGAAGGCGCAATTTCAGTAAGAGATATGGGGGGGGGGGAGTTAATATTTTCCCCCCAGAAGATCTCAAACTAAGGATGATAAACTTGATAACTATTTAAAGTACAAGGGTGTAGCCCAACAACTTAAAATTAGAATAAACTGCATTGCTAGGATTTACAAATACGAAGAATAACAGTTTTTGTGATCTTTTTGCCAGAACACGAAATTTGGTGTTTTACTTTATAAGTAGGTCGATATGCTATGGGGGAGGGGGTTAGAAAAAAGTACAAAAAATAATCAATAAATAATGAAAAATGTTGCCCGAAACTAAATATTAGATAATTCGTTTTTGTTGTCCTAAATTAGAAAAACAAAGCAAATGAGGAGGTTAGATGGAGTCCTACCTCATTTTGCCAAATCAACATTTGTCCTTTCATTCTAACACAGTTCAGGGGTGTGTATACTGTATGTTCAGGGGTGTGTATACTGTATATTCAGGGGTGTGTATACTGTATATTCAGGGGTGTGTATACTGTATATTCAGGGGTGTGTATACTGTATATTCAGAGGTGTGTATACTGTATATTCAGGGGTGTGTTTACTGTATATTCAGGGGTGTGTATACTGTATATTCAGGGGTGTGTATACTGTATATTTTCTCCAAAAATCATTTTAAGCCCAGAAGATTTATATGCTTGCACGGTGCGCAATTTTTTTTAAAGGGTTTTATTCGCTTAATTAGAAAAAATCAATGATTTTTGGAAGAAAATTAGTAATTTTTGGGGTAAAAAGTTTCTAAAAAACTTTTTTTTTTTCACTTCATATCATCCTGGGGGGGGATTCTGAAAAAACTTACACCCCTGACAGACTTATTGACTAGTTACGAACAGAAAGTCCTGGACACGACACAACGCGATTTGAGGATAAGAGATAGAAAACTACTACAAAAAAACTTGACACAGATTTAAATATGTCAGATCTATTCCTTCAGGGGTATATATGTATTTTCAAAAATAACCCACAAATATGATTTTTGATGCTCTGAAAAAAATGACTTCAAAGACCTTGTTGATATTATTTTTACCAAAAATTTTATTTATAAATTTTCTCTAAAACATCAATTATTTCTCCCATTTCAGCGAATAAAATCTTGGTCGACAATCGACTTATCTTTAATCTACCGTTGGTCGACAATGTACATATCTACCCTTGGTGGACAGTCGACATTTCTACCATTGGTGGACAATCGACATTTCTACTCATGGTAGAAAATCGACATAATTAACCATGGTTGACAATCTTCATATCTACACTTGGTGGACAATCGAAATTTTTGCCAGCTTGGTTGATAATCGACATATCTACCCTTGGTCGACAATTGACATATATCTACCCTTGATCGACAATCGACATATCTACCTTTGGTCGACAATCGTCATATCTACTCTTTGGATGACAACCTTGTTTACCTTTTCCTTTTGTTTGCCGGTAGCTTCAGCTATTTGTCGGCTACACTCTTCCATTACAGTCATCTAAACAAAAAGTTTTAATCAATATGAATAAATGGATCAATAGAAAAATAAATCAATAGATCGATGAAGAATCAACTAATCGGCTATTCTATGGATCGACTTCTCTATGAACCAACTATTTGATAAGTCAACTTATCAATCGACTAATCGATGAATCGACTAATCACGAATCAATGAAATGAATAATCGACCAATCGAAGAATCGTTAAATCGACTAATTTTCTAATCGAATCGATGATTCAATGATTCAATGATTCAATACACGGATTATACTATGAATCAAATAATCAATGAATAATTGTCTAATTGAGAACTCGACTAATCGATGAATCGACTATTTTATGAATCGACTTTTTAATGAGTCAACTAATTGTCCTTTTGAGAAATCGAGATGCACTAATCGATGAATCGACTAGTGTATGAAGAGACTATTTAATGATTAGCTAATCTATTATATTCGATTTAGTGAATAATCAACTAATCGATGAATCGATAAATCAATTAATTGATTAATTAATCGACTAATCTATTAATCGAAAATTAACACATAAATAACAAGTTCTTTGTAAATATATCCTAAGCTATAAGTAAATATCGTGTTCTAATCTAATTAAGGTTTCACTCAGCAATCAGAAATCAGAACTTTTTTGTTCTTAATCTTGGGATTATGCATTGATCACCATCTTATGCAGATTTACGGATTAACTTAGTTCCTCTTCGATATCCTGTGGTGGTCAACCACTTGCAGGGATTACATAAATTGAGGAATCAAGCATTGATCTGTAAATTGATTAAGCAATGATCCACATTGGATATCAATACTGAGGGTTTAAGATTAACGATACACAGAAGTCCCGACCCCAGTTACTATTCTAAATCTTACTGTCCGCTCACCATCATGCTTTCACCCCAATCATCCATCTTTAACAGATTTTTTTAAAACAATTTATTTATCCATTTTTTTCATTAAAAGATAAATGAAAAATCATACCATTTTCAAAAATAGTATTGCACTTTCCCACTTGTTAAAAATTTCTTCATATTAAAATGTATATACGTGAAGCTTAAAAACCAGGATAAAAAAAGTAAAAATATGATTTTCTTTAAAAAAATGCACCTGACACATAAATTACAGATTATATGGAAGAAAAAATTTAAACAAATATATAATTTCTTTTTTTAAACATTTTTAAACTTGTCCCTTTTTACATGAAATTCATAAAAAAATAAAACAAATATAAAAAGACAACTAACCGTAATCTTCTTGAGGTCAACCTCCGCCACAGCGGCGGAGGCTGCGGCCGGAGCTCCAGAGGATCCGCCGCCTGCAACTGGTCTATTCAAGATATTCGGCTTCTTATTTACAACTAGTTCTTCAGCCTGACAAAAAAAGTTAAAACCATTAAATATTTTTAAGTGATAACTTTTTCCCCCAGCTCACTGGACTTTTTAAAAAATCCAAGAAAATATGATAAGTTTTAATAATTTCGAATTTGCTTTCCTTACATTTTAATCTTAAAGAGGATATCATGCAAAAAAGAAAAAAGTCCGAAAAACATTAAAAGTATAAAAAAAGTTGTTTACAATCAGTACGAAGCATGTTGTACTGGCAGCTGAATAGTGAGTGAAATAAGGAAAATAGCGTTGCCTTTTCGGACAATTTCCTTATTTCTGCAGTAAAAATCCAAAAATGTCTTTAGAAGAGAAAACATGATGAAAAATAAACTTTAAACTAGAAAAAAAATTATTTTGTCATTCTTGATATGAAAGCTTAAATTAGGGTACTGTTGAATTCAAACAAGGAATTTATAATTTCATATTCTTTAACAAAAACAATTCAATTGAATAATTCTTTAAACAATTTAAACACGAGTCCTACGGGAGTTACCTCCTAACTAGGGAAAAATTATGCAAGGGTAAATAGTAAAAAACTTTCAAAAATTCCCTAAATGAGGAGAAATAATTGAATTTTAAGTCAAAAGTATCAAAACGTGTAAAAACTTGTATTTTTATGTCCCCCCCCCCCATTGATCAAAAATCATTTCCGGGGAGTAATTCTTTTAAAAAAAAGGGATTACCTGGGAGGATTGGATCCCTGCTTCACTCATTGGAGTTAATACTGGATCCGCATTCTTTCTTTGCACCCACCACTCATCAGCTGTTAGGGCGGGTAACTCAGCCTAATAAAGGGGAGGTCATTTGTGGTTTAAATCTTTCAATTTTTTTTGGCTGCACGCGTACTTAGAGATCGAAATTCCAAAAATAAAATAAAATTGAATTTTAACGACCCCCCCTCTACATAATAATATTATAATAATATGACATCTCCACCATCCCCTTTTATCTGTACAAATGAATATATTGTAGCCCGTTTTTGTATTTACTTGCAACCAGTTTATGTAACTAATCCTGTAGCCAGATTATATTTTAGTCTGTAACCACAATTTTTTTTTATTTAATAGCAGCCAGTTTTGCATTTTCCTATAGCCAGTTTTATTTTATCCTGTAGCCAGTTTTTGTACTATCCTGTAGCCAGTTTTTGTACTATCCTGCAGCCATTTTTTGTACTATCCTGCAGCCAGTTTTTGTACTATCCTGCAGCCAGTTTTTGTACTATCCTGTAGCCAGTTTTTGTACTATCCTGTAGCCAGTTTTAGTATTATCCTGTAGCCAGTTTTTGTACTATCCTGTAGCCAGTTTTTTCTGCTCTGTAACGCATTTGTGTATCACCCAGTATCAAAATACTAAGATCTCAACCTGTGAATCTCAATCGATATCGATTTCAATTCAATATCAGTCGACACCCCCTTTAATTTTTCGCGCACACTCCCTTAACAGTATTCAATAAATTAACCTGTGTATCTGGATATAGATCTTCTTGGAAAAGTTCTGATTTTCTGGGAACTTTGAACGGAATAACTTGACAGAAACCATTGTTGTTCAACCTAGACCAGAAAGAATATGATTCTAATTCAATATCTACATTTTTTTCTTCAAATCATTCCAACATTAACCAATTGTTTTTTTCATTCTAGGGTCCAGACTTTTGAATGCTGATGGTTAAACTTAAAGAAGGCCAAGTGCTTATAATCAGGATCTACTGGGTCCGAAAAAATTTGACTTCGGGATTCGCCAAAAAAAAATACGGGAACCACAAAAAATCTCAATTAAATTATACAAAAGATTTCCGCAAAAATATCGCACCATTTAAAGAAAGTTGAAAGACGGATCCAAATCTGCATGAAAATGGATAGAATACTTATCATTGTTTTTGGTCAACAATTTGATATAATCCCCCCCCCCCCCCCCGAGGAGATTTCTTATATCAAAATAGATTCTTAGGTCGGACCCATAAAGCTGCAGATTAAGAAGACGACATTTAGACCCAAGTTTTTTAATGGAAATAGTTAAATAAGCATGCAACACAGCAATTGTACAGTGTACACAGATTTTAACAAAAGAAAATACATACTGCTTTAAATCTAAATGGCTTTCATCATCCTATTCCTGAGTTTTATGGGAACCACAACAAAAATTAAATTTTCTTTAAAAACTGTCCCCCCTTTTAGAAAATAATTTTTTATTTCTTCAGTAGTTATATATAATTGTGCGGAAATTTTTTTTTCAGAGGGTTTTCGCAAAATTGGGGAAAATAATAGATTTTTGGAGTAAAATGTATCAAAAAAAAAAAAAAATTGTCTTTGAAAGTCCCTTTTTTCATTTTTCCCCCCTACCATTTCATCAAAAATCATTACAACCCGGGGGGGGGGGGGGGGGGGGGGGGGGTTGTTTAGTTCTTAAAAATTTACATCCAATAATTAAATCTAATTAAATAACCTATAGAATCTACTGATCTCACAAACAGAAACATCACAGCCTCGTTTTGGCATAAATCCTACTCCTCTCTGTGGATCTGGGGTCTAGAATTTTAATAGATGGATATGTAGAACTATAAATTATAGATATATAGATGAATAAATGAAGATAGATAGACAAAAATGTAATTGTAGAGATATAGATAAATTGATACAATAGATAAATAGATATATAGATAAATAAATAGATAGATAAACAGATAGATAGAAAAATATGTAATTGTAGAGATATAGATATATAGATAAATATGTAATTGTAGAGATAAAGATGAATAGATAGACATTAGACAAGTAGATAGATACATAAAAAGATAGATGAAGGTATTAATATAATGAACAGTACCTGAGAGGTATTAATATAATGAACAGTACCTGAAAGGTATTAATATAATGAACAAAGGGAGGCTCTGGAGTAATTTCAAAGTACCGTATCACACTGTCTCCCTAAAAATACAAGAAAATAATAATAATAACAAATGATTTAGAGTGAAAACTGAAACTATGATGTAGGGAGTCTTTTGTAAACGAATTTTAATTGAATTCTTTGATAAAAAAAAACACCATTAGAAATTTTTTTTTCCTAACAAATTTTGAATTTGAAAAAAAAGTTACCTTTCCGCAGAGGTATACAAGGTTAGTATCAGGATCATAGATAGGGAACATTACTCCGTTAGATGTATCCAGTTCAACCATTACTAGAATTTATGTATTATTATTACTTTAACATTTTTATTTTAAATGTATCAAAATAAAGAATTGTTAGTAAATCTCACACCCCCCCCCCCCCCCCCGAATTTAAGTCAATAGGCGTGGCAATTTTAAATATAAATACAGGGAAACATTTGTCATTTAATGTCATATTTCTACTCCCCAACTAGCCCCTGTTTTACAGCTATTACCTATAGGATCGTCCAGGTGTCCTGGTGCCCGTAAACTGTACTGACGCTCACTGTGTTTTGTAAATCCTAAAAATAAACTCATGAAAAAAATGTGCTCATCACATTTTATATAAAAATTGGATTTCTTTAAATCTTAAACTTAATCAACATTAACGTTTACAACAATTTATTTTAAAAATGTCTTTTATCATTTCACAATTTTAAATATCCTTGAAAAATTACAAGCTTGTAAAAATAAATAATAAATGAGTTAAAAAAATGAAATAAGTGAAAAGATGTGATGGTATGAACCTGTTGTAAAGACAAGGCCGTTTTTCAGATAAATAGCTCGAGCTCCCTTGCTGCCTTCATGGGCAATAGCCTCCTCCTCTACTTCGCCAGTCCTAGGGAATCAATCAATCAATCAATCAATCAATCAATCAATCAATCAATCAATCAATCAATCAATCAATCAATAAAAAAGAAATTGATCAATTAAAAAACGAATTAATCTACCAAACAACCCATTTCGTAAATTTTTTTTCAATTCATTCAAAAATGCTACCTTGGATCTACTCTTCTGATAGTTTTATCCTTGCAAGTAAATAGAACTTCAGATCCGTCCCAGTTCCAGCACCCACTCAGTACAAGCTCTAGGAGAATATATTGTATTTATCCATGCAAGTAAATAGAACTTCAGATCCGTCCCAGTTCCAGCAACCACTCAGTACAAGCTCTAGGAGAATATATTGTATTTATCGTTGCAAGTAAATAGAACTTCAGATCCGTCCCAGTTCCAGCACCCACTCAGTACAAGCTCTAGGAAAATATATTGTATTTATCCTTGCAAGTAAATAGAACTTCAGATCCGTCCAAGTTCCAGCAACCACTCAGTACAAGCTCTATGAGAATATATTGTATTTATCCTTGCAAGTAAATATAACTTCAGATCCATCCCAGTTCAAGCACCCTGCACAAGCTCTAGGAGAATATATTGTATTTATTATTTATGATGATATTGATATTAAGAAATTCAATTTTTCTTATAATTTTATTATAAACTTTGCTTATACAAGAAAATCGGAAAAAATTTAGCTTGTTCTTTTTTTAAGATTTTTATTGACATTTAAAAATTTCTTTAAATGAAACTTCAGATTAAACAAAAATAGGAAAATTCAAAGAAACGAACTTTATCACGACCAAGGTGTATGGTTTGATACCTTAATCTTTTTAACTGAGGCCGAATTTAAAGAATACGGTTTAAATTCTTTAAATTCGTCCTCGGGTGAATTTACCATGGGCCACTTTTAAATATTAAGCGTTTTGAGCAATTTTCTCCATATAGACGCAATGGATAGAAGTAAAATCGAATCCAACCTTGATCTAGATTAAGCCAACCTTTTCATTTTTTGTCAACAGTCCATTTAAGAAGAAAGGAAAAAATGGTGAACCTGGTAGCATGAAGTTTAGAAGACACTCCCCAGTTCCTACATTCCAGATACACACCTTGTTATCAGAACCTAGATACATAATACATATATATTAGATATATATAAAAAGAATAGATAGCTGATTACAATATATATATATTGTAATATTTATTTTAAAGTATAGGTGACTCATGCTAAAAACCTCCCCCAGCCTCACACCTTTATCTCTTTGTTCTTTTAATGAATGCGGAGTAGTTAACCTGAACTGATTCATTAAGATTCAACAGTGCACCCCAGATCCTTGAATAGAACAGACGTATGAGCCAAGCTCCGTTTGTTCAACCAAAGGCTAGGGGACGGGCACTTCATGGACAGCTCTCAGAAGGCTTACAACATGTGGACTTACATGATTATATCTTACATGATCATATCTTCAGGAATACAATAAACCATTGATGAGACAGATATCTCAGGTTACAACAGATCAGAGCAATGTAGTTCCACCTCAATACAGCTGGTTCAACTACCTACACAATCTAATATCCCAGGTGTTCCTATGGTTAGAAACATTGGAGGCTCCGAGGATTGCTGGAACTATAGAATGGATAATAGAATCAGAGCAATGTAGTTCCACCTCTATACAGCTGGTTCAACTCCCTAAACCCTCTAATATTCAAGGTGTTTCTATGGTTAGACACACTGTGGACTCAGAAGATAATACAGGCCAATGAATCCAGGTGAAAGGAGATCATGACGATCTATCAAGTAGATGGGAGATCAACCGAGATGCATAGCATCCTATAGATCAAAGAGATATCAATGAGATGGGAGATCAACCGAGATGCAGAGCATCCTACAGATCAAGGAGATAACAATTAGATGGGAGATCAACAGAGATGCGGAGCATCCTACAGATCAAGGAGATATCAAGTAGATGGGAGATCAATCGAGATGCAGAGCATCCTACAGATCAAGGAGATATCAAGTAGATGGGAGATCAATTGAGATGCAGAGCATCCAACAGATCAAGGAGATATCAAGTAGATGGGAGATCAACCGAGATGCAGAGCATCCTACAGATCAAGGAGATATCAAGTAGATGGGAGATCAATCGAGATGCAGAGCATCCAAGAGATCACGGAGATATAGAGCAGATTGTAGATCAACAGAGATGCAGAGCAGACTACAGATAATGTGGATACTGCAGATATTGCAGATATGAAGGATACTGCAGATATTGTAGATAAGAACTATAAGAAAAGAAATCTGAAAAAGATACTGCAGATATTGTGGAAACTGCAGATATGGAGGATACTGCAGATATGGAGGATACTGCAGATACTGTGGATACTGCGGATATTGAGGATACTGCAGATATTGTGGACACTGCAGATATTGTGGACACTGCAGATATGGAGGATACTGCAGATACTGTGGAAGTTGCAGATACTGTGGAGACTAGAGATCCAGAGCAGATTGATAGAGAGCTAGGATGAATCACAAAGATCACCAGCTATATGAACCACAGGAGAACTGCAAGTATGAGATCATAGATCTACAGCAGATTGACAGAGAACTAGGATGATCATAAATCACCAGTTACAAGTATTACAGGAGAAGATCATAGGTCTGTAGCAGATTGATAGATAGCTAGGATTAATCAGGAGATCACCAGTTATATTATCTATAGAAGGATCAGCTGAGACCACATCTAGCTCAGCAGGGAACAGAGGCTCAGTAGAACTACCGAGGGACTCTTCCTACATAAGGGTCAGTGGGGACTTGCCTAACCACTGAGGGACTCTCCATATATAAGAGTCAGTGGAGACTTGCTTAACCACTGAGGGACTCTTCATATATGAGTTAGTGGAGACTTGCTTAGCCGCTGAGGGGCTCTTCCTATATAGGAGTTAGTGGAGACTTACTTTACCACTGAGGGACTCTTCCTATATAAGAGTTAGTGGAGACTTATCTTACCGCTGAGGGACTCTTCCTACATAGGAGTTAGTGGAGACTTGCTTTACCGCTGAGGGACTCTTCCTACTTAAGAGCTAGTGGAGACTTGTCTTACCCCTGAGGGGCTCTACAGATATATGGAATATGGTTTAATATAAATAGATATTAACAGATATATTTGTACCAATAAAATGTAGATTGATAAACCCACTTATTCAAGACCTTGAGAGATATATATTATACACAAGATGAGAGGTTTGGGTAAATTATGGATTGGTACTGGGAATGAAAGTGAAGTCTTGTATTAACCTTCAAAGATGAGGGACAAGGATTGATCTTGATTTCCCTAGGATTTATGTCTGGGATTGTAACTATACCAAAGGATTAAATGTTACAATATATATAAATAATAAGATAGATACATACCAAACATATAATAAATTGATAGAATCGATAGATATATAGAATATAGGTAGATGGATGAAAAGATAAGATAGATTTAGATAGCTGTGTGCTAAATGGATAGATAAATAGATGAATTAGTTAGTTAACAGCTAAATAGATTTGTTGGATAGATAGATAAAAGACTGAATGGATTGGATAGGTAGATACCTCCTGAGATATTTTTAGCTAAATTGAAGGAGTGGGAGGGGGTTTACCTGCTGAGAGGAGTATATTTTGAGCTGAATTGAGGGAGAGGGAGGGGGTTTACCTGCTGAGAGGAGTATATTTTGTTCTGAATTGAGGGAGGGGGTTTACCTGCTGAGAGGAGTAAATTTTGTGCTGGATTGAGGGAGGGGGGGGGGGGTTTACCTGCTGAGAGGAGTATATTTTGTTCTGAATTGAGGGAGGGGGAGGGGGTTTACCTGCTGAGAGGAGTATATTTTGTTCTGAATTGAGGGAGGGGGTTTACCTGCTGAGAGGAGTATATTTTGAGCTGAAGGATGCCAGATCACCAGACCAACTCGTCTCTGATGGTTTACCAGCTCAACTACACACTCGGTCATTGTCCTAGAAAAGAAATTATATAAATCGGGAAAATCAGGAATATTTAATTGATTAAAAAACAATTCATTCCCCGTATTCAAAATAATTTTTACCCCCGTATGCTAGAATTGTTTTAAGGGTGGGCACTCATTTGTTAAATGAGATAAATAAAGCTCTTAGCTCATATATGTTATATATTTATATGTCAGCTATAGCCGGCCAAACGGGGTTCCCAGAAGGTAACATTTTGTTTCTTCAAAATTAGTTTTTTACCCAAAATCAATTTTCTTTCCCCCGTTTCTAAATGATTAGAAACGGGGAAATATGAATGAAATGAAATGTTAGATAATAAGCAGCAAGATTTTGGTTTCCTGGATTCGTATCCAAGGGGCAAAATATCAACTAAATACGTAAAAAAATATCAAAACCCGAATCTTAACTATTGAAAAAAGAGAGATTATAAAAATTTCCTGATTTCTGAATGATTCGTCAAATTTTCGTCTTAATAAGACAACACATTTAAAAATTCTGCCGTGTAAAAAAAAAATTCAGTAAATCTTAGGAAATGACCTGGTTCCAGATTTTGATCCATTATTTTTCAGTGCGGATCCAGGATCCGGATCCGGATCCGCATTACAATTTAATGGATCCTATGCACTGGTTATAAGTTTTAAACAGTGAACATGTTTAAATCCAATTTCACTTCCCCAAAGTTCGAAAAATTTAATGAAAAAATAATTGAAAACTGGTTAAATCCAACTTGCACGATTAAAAAGCCGCGGACCCCCCCCCCCCCCTCTCGAGTATCCTTTTCTTTTAAAAAATGCTGATGACCTTGTGAGTCCTCCATCTGGAATCTGCCAAACTTTGACGCAGCAGTCTTCACTCCCTGACGCAATAACATTATCGTTGTGAGGACAGAAGGCAACATCCAGGACAGGACCCTTGTGACCGGCCACGAGGGGGTGATCAGGGGCAATTCTTCCGCTCTAAACATAAACATAAATTAATAATATCTTTTTAACAAGTGTCATTATTACTTGCAGCTGTTTTCCTGTCGTGTGTTTTTCTCTCCCTGCAAATATTTAATCTTAGACAAAGAACATATAAAGCTCAGAATCGTCACATAAGTCCGTTAAAATGTTTCCTGAGAGCTGCGTCATCTTCTGCTTGGATTTATTTTTTCTAAGTTTTTTTGTTGTTTTCCTTTGTATTTTAATATATTGAATCTAAGTGACAGCTAAAATTTACCAGCGCGCGTCTGTTTTAATTCTTATGTTGTGCATTTTGTCCCAAAATGAAAATGAAGATTAGAATTAAAAATCAAATGGAAAAATCAAACGAATATAGTTTCATTTTGAGGCATATATTTCAAATTCAAATGAAATATACATTCTTGGTTTCAAAAGGAAATATTAATTCTAGTAAAGGGAAAGGGGACACAGATAACTTGAATTGCGTTTTTTTTTGTTTTGGAGGGGGGGGGGGCCCTCCAAAACAAAAAAAACGCAATTGTAGACAAATCTGAAGGAATTCCTTGTCCTAATAATATTATTTGTCTAGAGTTAACATGTAACACCAAGCTTCTAAAGAAAGATAAGAGTTTGAGAAAATGTTTGTTTGAAGAAGAAAATGTCAATGTGAGAACACACAAGCAATAATAACATTTATGTAAAAGGTTTAAAGGCAAATACGTCAGAATACGAAAAAAATTGTAAATACAGAATAAGAAAAAAATTAAACCTATTGAGCAATGGACAAGGGGGAAAAAGTAATTTGACTTGGATTTACAAAAATTCAACAAATTTCAATACTCTGTTTACCTAAACTTAAACTTTTCAAAAAAGAAATAATTTAAGCTTTTTATTTTCTCTCTCTCTCAAAACACAATACTCAGTAATCCCTCAGATTAATCCTAAACCCATGACATTTTTAACACTCTGATTTTTACAGGGATGTCTTAAAAATCATTCCCCCTTGTTTTTTTCCAAATAGTTAAAATGTACGTTTGCATAATTTAAAAATAAGTTTTATTCGCAAAATTGGGGAAAATATAAGACTTTTAGTGGAAAATAAAATTTATTTTTATCTTTTACTTGNATTATTATTATTCAACATTATCCTTAATTCATATTAGAACTATTAGAAAAGAAATCTGAAAAAGAGGTCCCGTTATGAACCCCCCAGACCGCCGGCAGGCATGGGAAGCACCGTCCCACACCTACTCTAACTGGACCTTTATACCCACAACAATACAGTTATACAGTTATAATCAGAAAGACCCGGACTTAGTTGACAGTTTATCAAGCCACTTTACATGAAAATCTCATGGCAATTTTAAATTCTCAAAAAAGACAGTCTAGATTTTGGAAATGACAGGACCAGGGCTATTTTGTGTTTTTCGTTTTATCAAACTGTCAAATCATCTGATTAATTCTAAATTAATTTTGGGTCTTTCTGATTAGAACTGTATTGTACCTTTGAATGTGGAAGAACCAGGAAAGCTCCGCCTCCTCCTGACTCGACGATAATTGCCAGAAACTTTGGGTTTACGCTGCAGAACGTCGAGTCCCAGGACGCTTTGGAAACCCTGGAATATTAAGTGGATCATGAGATAGTTGAAAAAAGCGTAATTTGTTCAGTGGCCTATCAAATTCACAACGGTACCTTTACGCCTTTGACTGATCGATGATAACGAAGTTTTCTTTATTTTTCTAGATAAAAAATGCTTACGAAGTTACGCAACGTGCTTTATTCTGAAAGGTATTCAAAAAAGAAACAATGGAGTTTTCGGCAATCAATTCTCAGCTTGGAAACAAACAAAGGTTGTGAATCAGACACGCTCCTCTTGTTAAGAAAGGTAACTTGAAAAGTGATGTTAAATGGATAATTAATTAAATAATTAATTACAAGTTTTTTACAAGTAAGTAAAGAGAAGCTTTTTTTATTAACAGCTTCTCTTTACTTCCATGTTTTGTAGACCCATACTGTTCAAAAGCTTAATATAAATCGAAAGTCGTCTTCATAATATTGATAAAATAGCTTACTATCGTAGCTGAAAACTCAGTGCTTAAGAAACGAATTGTCTCTTACTGTTGTTAAATATATGAAGTTATGCCACTCAAAAAAAAACTTAGGGTCACTTGAATTTGCTCCTAAAATCCATTTAAGAGTGATAAATAGGATATTAGAAGGAACTATAAAGATAGTTGAGTGGGGGATAAGTGATTAAAAATATATGACAGAGTGATGAGATATAGATAATGAGATCTATGAGAGGATTAATGAGATAGTTATGAGGGATAATGAGATAATTGAAAGGGATCATGAGATGGGTTTTAAGATGGTTGAGAGGGACAATGGGATAGTTTAGAGGCATACAGGGATAGTTGAGTGGGTTAAGGGATAGTTGAGAGGGATAATGAGATGGGTGAGAGGGATAATGAGATGGGTGAGAGGGATAATGGCGTCTGTCCTAGTGAACGATTTTTGGACCCCCCATCAATTTTGTACATGACCAAATTAGTATTTATTCAGCATTATTTAGGGTTAGGTTAGGTTAAGAGAATTTCTGGGCCGAGCGCTGCGGCTAGGACAGGCTAGGGGGCCGAGCGCTGCGGCCACGGGTTAGGTTAGTTAAGACACTTTCTGGGCCGAGCGCTGCGGCTAGGACANGGACAATGGGATAGTTTAGAGGCATACAGGGATAGTTGAGTGGGTTAAGGGATAGTTGAGAGGGATAATGAGATGGGTGAGAGGGATAATGAGATGGGGGAGAGGAATAATGGGATAATTTAGAGGGGTAAAGAGATAGTTGAGAGGGATTATAAGTTGGTTGTGAGGGATCATGAGATGGATTTTAAGATAGTTGAGAGGGAAAAGATAGTTTAGAGGCATAAAGGGATAGTTGAGACTGAGAGGGATAATGAGATAGTTGAGAGGGGTAATGAGATAGTTGAGAGGGATAAGGGATAATTGAGAGGGATAATGAGATGGTTGAGAGGGATTATGAGATGGTTGAGAGAGATAATGATATGGTTGAGAGGGATAATTAGATAATTGAGAGGGATTAAGGGATAACTGAGAGGGATAATGAGATAGTTGAGAGAGATTATGAGATGGTTGAGAGTGATAATGAGATGGTTGAGTTGAGAGGGGTGATGAGATGGTTGAGAGGGAATGCGATAGTTGAGAGGGATAATGAGATATTTGAGAGGGATAATGAGATATTTGAGAGGGATAATGAGATAATATGTTCACGATGAAGTAGGTAACTCAAACCTGATGTTATCATAGCACTGTTCACGTTTCAAATTCGAGCCGAAAACGTGTCGAAATTTCGACTGTCGAACAACTCGAAAAGACATGTTTCGGCAAAATGGCAATTTACAGTGATCTCAACGACTGTACTTTCTTAATCTGAAAAAAGGAGGCATCATTAAATTCACTTTGAATGGTTCACAAGAAAAAATCCTAAATCTTATTAAGTATTGTATTTACAAAGAAAATAAGACACAAAAACTAAAAAAAGCAGAAGAGGGAAGTTTTTTTAAGTATACTTTCAGGAAAAGTTAATGAATTTTCAAAATTTTAATTTTAAAAAATTCATGAAAAATTTAAACTGATTTCCAACATGTATTCACATGATTATCAACAACTTCGGTGACTCGCAAATTTAATTTTAAGAACTCAGAAAACTCTTTCATTTTCAGGCTATTTCGGGAACTATAGAGAGTGGCGAAAATGGGTTCAAAATTATTACTAAATAATTTAAAATTGTAAGTAACTTGGCGTGCAATTTTAAAGCCAATTAGATGAAAAAAAGTTAAAAATATAAATTAATTTTTTTTTTGATTTTTCATCAAATGTTTCGAGCCCATGTCTGTAGGACTCTTACTATTCTTGGCCTTAATTTTACCTGGGCCTAGAACTTTGAAATAATTTAGAATCACAAAATAATTTTTGAGCGTTCAGAAAATTTAAAATTTTTATAAATATAACATACCAAATATTGCAATAAATTTGAAATTTAAAATTATTATTTTTCATGATTCATTTAATATTTCCAGACCCTTTTCTTAAGGTGAGAGGGGAACATATACATGATAGATAGATAGACAACTGAATAGAGAGATACACAACAATGATAATAGATAGATACCTTGTGAATACAGGCAATTGTGAAGACAGATGGATAGGAAGACACAAACAGAAAATGACATCATCCCCAAATTTACGAGTATAATATACGCCATGGAAGCTTAAAACTTAACTTTAAATAGGGGACTCGTATCTCGAATCATTAAGATGTTATGTACGTAGGAGGGGGGGGGGAGGTAGGTAAAGTCCCGGATTCAAATTCCAATTGAATTTCTTTTACTGCAATTTAATCTGAAAAGTTTAAGTTCCTCGTAAAATCTTATTCAATAGGTCGGAAACCTCGTGGCTCTGTTTACTCTAGCATCAGTTGATGTAGCATCTATTAAGGAACGCCGGTTCTACCGTTTCCCCCAGGAGATCCAAGGGTTTGTGTGTAGTGTTATTGTGAACATCAACATACTTATTACGAAAGATTTTAGCGCACACATTATTGAACATTACATTATTTGAACCGAAGAGCTTCAGCTTAGATAAGACTAGTACAGAGATCTAGAAGTGCTACAGATATTTTCTATAACGCGTTACATTGTGTAAACACTGTACAAGGAGGGAGGGAGTCCAGAGTTCCTCAAATAGTAATCACCGCCACTCAAATCTGTTTTGCGGCAATCACCGTAAAATTTTGTTTTCTGTGATTTGAATTTAATGCACTTTTAGCACAATTTTCGACATCTATCGGGGTTTTATGGCATCTGTATTGACTTAAACTAAATTTTCAAATTATTTTTTCTTATTTCTAAGAAATAAACGATTTAATTTTATGCTTTTTTGGGCTGATTACTATTTGAGGTGGTGGAGGTTACCAATTGAGGAGCGCGCTTGCTGCAAAACAGATTTGGGTGGCGGTGATTACTATTTGAGGAACTCTGGACTCCCTCCCTCGTACAAGATTTCATAGGAATCATTTGGATCCTATCAATTAATTTTGTATGTTCATAATTTTTATCGATTTTTAGAGTCTGTCCTAGAGAACGATTTTTGGACCCCCCCTCCTATCAATTTTGTACATGACCATTTATTTTTCAGCAAATTTAATATTATTTTTTTTGTTATTTAGGGTTAGGTTAGGTTAAGACACTTTCTGGGCCGAGCGCTTCGGCTAGGATGGGCTAGGGGGCCGAGCGCTGCGGCCACAGGTTAGGTTAGTTAAGACACTCTGGGCCGAGCGCTGCGGCTAGGAAAGGCTAGGGGCATAACATTAGGTATGAGCTCCTATAACGTTAACGTTTAACGTTCACGTTATATAGAATATATCCAAACATTACACATTATTATAACGTAACGTACAAAAATGTAAATTTTACGTTACGTTACACTATCGTTGACATCTCTAACATGCACATTACAGATTTATCAAACTTAAATATTTAATATACATAGATTATTATCATTAGTTAAATGAATATCATTTTTAATTTTCTTATTTTAGAACATTATTATACACAGGGTTGTTTAGATTTAGCTTGTGGACAGGCAAGGTTGCATTCATAATCAAACAACAGGTTTTCACATTTTAAATGATCAGAAAAGTTCACGAGATGCTTATTTATCTTTTTATGCGGGTTGGATTTGCATTCTTTCATGTTGTTCGGTTCAAACTATCTCGTACTTGATTTAGGGTTTGTTCCTAGTGCAACCCAGGCACATTCTGTATTGCAGATTGTCCAAGATGACCGTCCATCACATTTTGATAAACTATTCCTGTCCTCTCAATCCTTATGTCTGTATCCATGTCAACGTCCGTGGTATTGCCAAGTTGTGTCCCAGGGACAAGAGAAGTGTGTTTGCCACCCACACTTCCCCCCTCTCCAGCAGGTACAGGTTGTAGCACTGCTAGGGAAGTTCCCCTTGGGGTTCTTATTATCTCTCCTGAACTTTGAGCAGCTTCCTCAGCTCTAGTACTCTTTTCCTTCTCCGTACTACAAGGTGTACTGCATAAGGTTTCCGTACTGCAGGGATCTGATCTGACCTGACAAAGCCCGGCTGGGTGTAGGATTCTAATTGAGCTGTAGAATTCAACCAAGTCTCTTCAGGGGTAGATATTTCTCCTGTCTGAGAAGGTTTTTCCTTCCCCTGACTTCTCTTCTCCAACCAGGCCTCCTTTCTCCTTCCTGGTGCAGGGGTTAAGGACACTGTGGCTACTGGCTTGGTAACTGATGAGAAGGTTATAGTCTCCTTCCCATTCTCAGCTTCCAGAACCATCTTGGTCCATATGCCAGCTCCTCTGCACTTATTATATAACTGTAGGATAACAGGGAAAGTATTAACCCCTGCCATAGCAAAAGTTTCGTGGATCACATTTCATAGATATTGTTGTCCCTCTCAGTGTCGGCAGAAGACTGATTTTCAATTTGTTAAAATCCGCAATTTTGTTCTTAAAAATTCATATGTTGGTGAAGAATGTCAATTACAACGCTACAATCTTTTTTGATAAACAAAAGAAAATGTTCTGAACTTATTTAAGAAGTTATACATTCCCCCCTTTTATCTTAAC